GCTTCTAACCGTTAGTCTCATCTAAGCAATCTTGTCTTCTTTTCGCTGTATGAGCTGAAGTTGGCCTTTGAATTTAAGATTTACTGCCACCTAGCCCGCACTCAAAACTTTACGATTTGTTGTAAAATTTACTGAATTTGCTCTTCGTTTTGGAAAGCGTAGTAAAATTTGTACCACTACTTTAGTGTCACAGTGTAATTTCATAATTTCTTCAAAAGTTGTTCTTTAGTGTTTTATACTTACATAAAATCAATAAAAGCGAAGCATGACCTTCTTGTCCCTGATCTTTGCCACTCATAAAGTAATACCAATCCAAWGGATTTATTCTGATGCCATATCTGAAAGATTAATTGAGAAAAAAAGCTAATTTACCATATTTTCAAGGAATATAACCACTTCAAGAAAATACTTTTCACGCATGAATCTATCAGAAAATTATTATTTTTTAAATAAAATTTATCGGTCGATTTTTTTTCTTTACTGTTCTTTATTTTACTTTTCTTCAAGTCCATTATTTGTATACTTACTTGAGCAGGTTTTCTAAGCACAGTCGGAATCCCCCGATTGTTAAAAGCAGGAAACCCCAGTTAACGAGACCTGTGAAATTACTAAATCCCGAACTCCATGAAAATAGTGAATCACGTGGGCGGTGGCAACTGGAAAGAACAAATGCATTGTTTCAAAGAAGCAGAATACAGAATATTTTAAATATTTCAAAAAGCTCAGATCAGTTCAACTTGGTCATTTTTTTAATATGAATGCTCTAAGAATTCCACTTTAAACTCTGCCAACTTTTTCTAATTTCGACAAAGAAAAAACGGCTTAAACTCAAAAGCTTTGGRTAAGCTTTCACTAACAGTTTATTTAGCCGTTTACTATTTCTAAGCTTCCATAATCATATACCATAAATTCATTCAATATTTATTGAATATTTGTGCTTTCCAAGCTTTCAGCGCTTTAGTAAACCATTATAGACACTTAAGGCTACAAAGTTTAATGCATACTTATTTCATTTAATTATTATAATTATGTAAAAATGTTGTAGCTATTGAAATATTTGTTAGTTTTAGTGGCAAGAAATAGATACCTTTATGAAATATTTACTAAAAAGCATTCAGGGGTTTAAATCTAAAACCTTACACTCTGCTTTATCAGCTTTTGTCTACTTAATAGGCTTTGTATACAATYCAAGCTTTTTCACGCAAACTATRCTTTTTATTCGCGAGTTACTTACGGTTTATCTGGCTGTTCTTTACGTTGCTTCTCCTCTTTACTTTGTATCTCCTCGGCACGTGTAACACTCTGCGTCCGCCGATATCTCTGCTTCTTTTCACCATTTCCATTTCCATTKCCATTGCCATTGTCGTCTTTGTCCAAGACTTTTCGATATTTATTTAGATCTATAGGTATGCCATTTTGGTCTAGCAATGCCGAGCTGGATCGTCGTTTGCGCAGTTCACTGAGATTGTGTTCGGTGGCGGAGGCAGAACGACGCAGCTTTTTAATGATGCCCATACCGCCATTTTGCTCACGCTGCGGCATGCCTTGGCTGTTATGGGGGAGAGGGCGTCGAACAGTTGTGCTAGTTTTTTCTCAGTCTGGAAAAAATGAAAAGGGGGGGGGAATTAATATACCAGAAAATGCAAGACCAGTCTTTGATTTTTGGGACATTGGAGACTTTTTTACTTTAGATTACTGATTATATTATATTATATATTGATGTGAAAGCTGAACAAATTTTACCCTGAATGGCAAAACAACTACTTTTTTTTATGTATTTTAATACACATTTTTACTATATCTTCAAAAGAGGCTCTTGAGGTTAGGCTTCTAGATTGTTGGCAGAGTTTCGACGTCTATTGATAAGCCCATATATTGTCATTAGTAATGTTGCGTCTGATGAATGTAAGGTCCGTAGTTACGTTTTCAGGCATTTGTTTAGAAACCTCTACTCCGACTTCGAGAGTAGTTTTCGCATGAGATTCAGAGATTTTCGTGCATATCTTGCATTATCTTCATACTGAAAACATTAACCAAAATKTGTTGAGCCGATCCATAAGAGATCTTGAGATCTTCTGCTATCTTTCGATCGAAAATAAACGATTCCTTTAGACCATGAGCTCTTGCGCTTGCGCCARTAACAATGGACCACCTTTGATRTTGGAAAAGTAAATCAAAGACGGTAATGTGACGAAACAAATTTCGTTCTATAAGAATATGAAACGGTTCATTTGCTTTTTAGGTCTTTTTAGGCAATTTAATTTTTCAGTAGACTCTCGTGGTGCATCCTCAAGATCCAAATTGACGGAACGAAATTTCGCAAACCAATTTTTGGCATTGGCGTTCGGTCARCACAACTTTTTCGTGCACATCACATAAACACTGAACTGCATTTGAACTTTTTTGATAGTTTTTGATAGTAAAACAATAAAATATACCGAAAATGCTGTTTTCAATCTTCCATCTTCGATAGAGCACCAAACAAACGCTTTCCTAAAAATTTCAGATTTTTTTTATAAATAAGCCTTATTATATCAGATGTTCAAATATTTTTATTGCGTAAATATGCATATAAATGATTAGAGTAATTTTTCAGTGATATTATTGCAAAATTGCAGTTAAATATTTTATGAGCGCCTTCTGGAATGCCACATTTTAGTAACCACGTTTTTTTTGCTATTTTTAAATGCCCAGTAGCAGATTAGCGAAAAAATAATTATCGGTTTACTTTATCAACACTTGAAATAAATAATAACATATTCAGAGTATTGTGGTAACATTCTATAAAAAAGAAAAAAAAAATATATGAATTTTTGTTATAAATCACCGATAAAATTCCATTTCTACCGATAATACCAGTTAATAATCGAAATTTTATTGATTTTAAGATTGTTTTCCAAATTGACTTCCTTGCATATGAATTTCTAGCGAATCGACTTCTTATAGCTATTCAAGCGACATAACTCTAAGTATGCCTATAAAAATCAAAAACGATGTAATGAATTTTTGTTTAGATTTTCGTTTAACCACAAATTATTGCCAAATAATGAAGGAATCAATACCTCACGAGCAAAATATCTTATTATATCAATGTTGTGGCTTTTTATTGGATTGCRTTTAACCACAAATGGTTGTGTCAGCTTCGTTTCATATCGCTATCACTTCAAAATTCGTGGTGCTTGAATGGGTTTCTCCTATGACGTCATTAATAAATGGTACTCTGTATTGTTTGAGAGCCTCTAGTCTAATGGAATCAAATAACATAATATAGAGACCATGTTGTTTTGTGATTTTGCTTAAGTCTCCAACCTTGGTACTGGATTCCAAGTTTTCGACCAATGTGGAAATATTTTTTTCTAGAGAACAGAAACCTCCAATATTATAATATTCCTTATGTAAACCAACACTTCCTATGAAGCCATTATCTCAATCTATCTTTAATAACMATGGTTTGCAGTCATTTTGCTACTGTGATGTTAGAGGCTGTTTCTTGGTAATTTTTGGTTGCTAAAAAATTTCTTAACACGTAGGATTTTTGTGTTGTAGTCAAGGATTGTACGGATCACCACTTACTAAAATGAGCCACCATTTACTAAAATRACAATAATAGCTGTACAAGGTGGAAAAGTTTTGAACTCAAATTCGCACTCAGGACCCCTCAAATACGCCACAGACCTTACAGCACATCAGTCGCAAGTTTTTCCTTCAGATTTGTTGAGTAGTTTAATCAGTTTAGAGAGAAAATGCATATAAATATCATGGAAAAACGCCATATGATTTCTGCTTTCGCACCACGATTCCATTGTCTTACATATTTATTAGCAGTAACTACATATTATTATTATTAATATGCTATCAACCGAGTCCCTAGAGTTGCAAGTCATTTTCTGATTTAACGCGAAATTGCGTGCGTCATCCGCCGGGGTTACACTGGAGGCTTTGCCTTCATGACACGTCTCTTTATAAAGTGAGACCAGTACGTATGTAGTAGTGTATATATCAAACAAATATATATTCGTATTTAGGTATACTATATACTGTATGCTATAGTACTTATAGTATATGTTCATATGCATATATCTTATGTTTTTGTTGAAAGGTCACTGCACTTGGATTTATATTTAAAAATAAATTCCCGTGTTTATTCTGTATCTTAATATCCTTTTTTTTTTATCAATGTTTACATTTTTGAGATAAATTTAAGTAAGTGGGTATTTTATTACCATTTATTTGTTTGACCCCAATACGTTATAAATGTGAAGTGACAGTGTGCTCTCGGCACGTACACAAGTGTGTATTTATCCATACAAGATTTTTCTACAAATAAGTTCAAGTCTGTGGCTCATTATCTCTGTGACGTCACATAAAAGCGTTCATGTGAAGATCACGAATCATTGACGGAAGCTACGATTAATGTTTCCAGGTTATGATCGGAGTTGTATTTTCAGTAACGGTATTGAGAACATTTTTCATTCGCTTCTCTTATAAGTTCAACCGAATTAAAATTTTCTGGAAAGTGACAACTTTTTTAAAACACATATGTTTTTAGCTTTAACCTTGCATAAATCTCGTTAAGACTTCTTCTTACCAAATTTTTTACTTGGAGGCATATCTTCTTTATAAAAATAACATATATTTATCACTACTGTTGCGCAGTGAGAAATTCAGTAAAAAATGTTGATACCAGCTTTCTTAAAAATATGTGAAAAAGAAACCTTATTAGCAAATMATTTTTTTATCGCAATTTTCTACACACTTTTTGCTGCCACAATGCTAATAAATGTGTAAAWATGTAGCCACAAGAAAGAATTTGAAAAACATCCTAATTTGGAGTTAATAGCGCTGGAATATCGTTCTGGATAGCTTAGTTTGGTTCCCTAATGATTCGAGTACACACCGCATGTCTAACATGTCTATATATAGAAACGTGTACCTGCACATGCTATATAAAAGAGACCATAGCAAATGATGCGAATTTGCCGGCTGTCTGCTGCCCGCCCCATTTCATTACCACTTCAACCCCGACTGTAGAATTACGTGAATCCAGCCATAGCAGCAATGCAGCGAAGCGACACGGCTTCTGCGCGGTTTGTTGAACCGTCGCTGCCTTTCAAGGGCACTTCTTCTCATATTTGGCGTCCTGCCGGTACGCAAGTGCGCAAAAGCACAAGTATTAAAATAAAAAGGAAATCAAYATTAACATTAACGAAAACGAAAACAAGCGACACCTCAATTTTCTCAGCTGTCGGTGTKTTTATTATTATTATTWTTTTTTGGTTTTTATTAAAATTTCGAAGTTTGCATTATCCATTAAATGGTAAATTTGAGGCGCATAAATTGAAAAGTTTTGCGTCTGTCAAACCTCAATATATTCAGTTTATATACTCTTCAAAAAGTGGGTTGACTTTGTCTGGCATCAAATACGTCTTTTAAGCTCTTGCACTTTAACTCGAACTGATTCTACTGCGCTTTCTTTGGACAAATTACCTTCAGCGCTAATATATGTGAATGGATCTTATTAAGTGGAAGAAGCTTATCAGAAATTTTGTGATGCTCTCAGCTGCCCCAACATAAACCGCCAAATTTAGAGAACTTCTCTGCACTTTCAGGAGGTCCTTTTTTAAAAGCGTAACATCCTTAAAAATCTGTGTCCAATTTTATATATGTATATTTTTTTTATTTTTTCTAATTCGATCCAAAAACTTCAATACTCTTTCTKTTAGTATTTTTAACCACACGCTTTCCATACTCAGAAGCTTTCGTCCAAGTTCACTTTGATGCATATTTTTGTAAAAAATACTTATGTGCTTGCATGTGTGTCCTACAAAAACTTAATTACAACTTTTATAYGCTGTGAAATCTGTACAGGAAAAGAGTCTGACATACTTCGATCACTTTATGATAAATAGGTCAGCAAAACAAGCGAAGCAAAGCCTATGGGCATATGGACATTTTGTCTGCCTCCTTGCTAATTACTACTTTGATTGGCGAGAGAGCGGGTTATACCTGCATTCCATACATGGAGGTGGTTCTTACGCAACGAGGTTAGTTTGATAAATGAATGATCTRTTTACGACAAATTTTTTCCACCCAAAAATATCATTATATTTATGGTCATAGTAATTTTTTACAATACTAAAGGTCATTTTGTTGTGAATAATTTTTTTTTCGAAAATTGTCTCTGCTTCTGAGGTTTTAGAACMTTCTAAAGTCACAATAAATAAAACAAACTATGATTGTTAAGATGCTATGGTCAATGACTTTGGTATCTGGAATAATGACAGTCTTTCTGTGCATATAAATAAATCTCCGCATGCTTCTGTAAAGTATACTAACTCTCGGTTTTATTATTTTATAATAATCCCAAGGTATTGCCTCTGTAAAATATACAAGTCTGCTTTACTCTATACTAATTTTCAATCGTGAGTTAAAACAATCATTAAAATGTTAATATTTATTAAACAAGTGGCTATTATCTAAAGTGCTCACATCACAACATATTGTTTAAACAACGCAATAACAACAAGTGRTCATTAAAAATTGTAGCTATCAGTGTGAACGCCGGCTTCTGTTATGGTTGCACAATACTCGGTTTAAC